CTTAGTTCAGGGCCAGAGAAAACAGATTCAGGACAGACTCTTTGGTGGAAAAGAGGATGGCAGAAGGGATTAGAATGATCTTCCGGGAGAACTGGCCTCAACTGAGCCAGATCACCAACACTAGGACTGTAGAACCATCACAGTCTGTCTGGTCAGGGGTTTGTCAGGGAGAGGGAGTGTGCCTAGGAACTACACTAAGACTTGAGGAAGGAGAACAATGAAGGGCAAGAGACACTGAATCCTGAGAAAGATCCTAGAACATTCTTACTCCACATGCACATGACTAGCCTTAGCTCTAAAACAACTCTAGCTTAGCAGGGTCCTAAGATATCCCATAACTTTGTCCTTCTCATCTCCGGGGACTTTTCTGCAAGAGAAAAAGCTCAGATGAGTTTAGAAGAAGAAAAAGGACAGAACTTCAAATAACGCTTCAAGAAAGTGGTAAAACCTGCACACCACCTTCTAGTGGTCTAGAGAAGGAAAGAGCAGAGCAAAGCCTAAATAAATGAAAAGACATATTTTCTGCAGTCTGCAAGAGAGTTGTCATTACTCCAGAGCAAAAGGCCTGATGCTGTGCAAGGCCCAGTTAGGGCATGTACTGATCAATGCATGATAACTTGACTACAAACAACAGGAAGATATGTGGGTACCTTGGTCAACTTGTATCCGCCATGCACCCAAGAGATGATAATCCTAAACTACCACATGCTGAGTTCTCACAATGTACCAGCATCATAGTAAGTGATTTACATGTAACAAAGACATAGATGGAATGCTAACTCAACGTATGTCTAGTCCAAAGCACTATACAGCTTCCAAGAAGTGCCTCCCCACCAATCCCCAGCATGGGGTGTAGAGTAGGGACAACAGCCAGATGAGGGTTGGGCTGGATAAAGCTGGCTCTCAAACAAAAACAAAGAGGAGTTAGCCCAGCCACTCAGGCCAGATCTAGCTCCAAGGTCTTTTGGAGAGACCAAAAGAACTTAGCCAGGGGGCTCAGGGCCATGCTTTGTCATTTGCCCTGACAGAGGTATTTCACTGATCTAATTTACCCAGAGAGAGGTATTTCACTCTATCTGCTTCAGTTCTTACCACTAACCATAAACCCTTAGAAAGTCTTACTGAGCAGTCAGGGCAACCAACAAGGTGCAAGGATAGGGAACAGGAGAAACTTGAAACTGAGCCCTTCTCTAAAGAGGCTGGGAGAAAGGAGGCCAGGGCTGAAGAAGAGAAGTATACCAGAGAGCTGACCCTGGGCCACAGGAGAGCTGACAAGAGACCCAACATCCAGACAGATATATTGGTGGGAACAACATGGAACAGCATGATTTATAGGTGCCTCACATACAGGACAGCAAGTATGTCTTCCACATGGTTCAGATACATTGTTGTGATTCACCAGGAAAACACCAAACACAGAATATCCTAATCACACATCCCAGAAAATGGCCAGACTGAGGAAGAGGAGGAACATGCATAAAGGACAGACATACAAGACTCAGACATAAGTCAATACTCAAACCAGCACAAGCATGGAAGACTACAGACAGACACTGAGACACAAGTATGACATGATATGTATCTGGAGGGGACCCAGGCAAAATGGATGAGGAGCTAGGCAAGTACACAGGAATGACATGGGCAAGAAGTCTCAGAAACCAGCACAAACATGTCGAGAACATGCAAAGAGTACACAAAGGAGAAGACCTAGGCTAAGTAGCTTACCAGTGAAGGGCTGGCTTGGCAGCTGGTTGAGAGTCCGCAAAGGGCTGCTGAGGAAGGGGCCAGGGGGCTCAGGGGCACAGGTGAAGCTTTCGTAGGCCTCCTCCTCCTCAAGAGGTAGTGAAGGCTCTAGAGGGGGCTCTGAGCCAGTGCCCCCATTGCTCAACGCCACCTCCAGCTCCCGGAGCTCCTGCCCAAAGCTCTCTAGTCCTGCCACGCCATCGGAGGTGCCCTCTAGTAGTTCCCCAGCTCCCTCCTGTGGCACCCGACGAACCTTCTTGGCCCCCTCAGGCCATGGTCCTGGCACCCCATTGAGCTGGGGAGGGCGCAGGTGGCCAGGGCCCTCCCTCACACCCAGAGCCAGTGCCCCCCTCCCCAGCTCCTCCACCTCCCCTTCCCCTGCATGGCCCCTGCCCTCCTCAGGCAGTAGGCTGCGTTTCTTAGTCCGGGAGCCAACAGGACTGGGCTCAGGAGGGGGCCGCTCGCCATCATAGGGGGCAGACCAGGTACGGCAGGCTTGGACACAGCGGTCCACACCAAGGCGCGCCTCACGCAGATACTCCAGGTAATTGTCTTCCAGCTCACCGGGCTCCTCCATAGGGCTGGGCCGTCGGCCAGGGCTGGAGGCTGGGGACGCAGCAAGCCCCGGTGAGCGAGGAGCTGGGGTTGGGGACTCGGAGCCACCCAGGCTCTGCTGTCGCAGAAAGAGGGCCAGACGAGACGGCGTGGAGGCCCGGGGTACCGTCACCACAGAAGAGGAGTCAACGCTTGGGCTTCCGGGGCCTGCAGAGGGGAAACCACATAAGAGAGATCAAAGAGCCAGAGGTGCAGGAGGAAGGATGAGACACCTTGGGTAACTAAGAGAGAAGGCAATGAAGCAGAAGAAACATGGGACTGATTCAGACAGCTGACTCTCCACCCCTCAAATTAAGCTTTTCCTCATCCACCACCCCCTCCTCATTACCACCAACACCACAAAAACAATGGAAATACAAGAGTACAACTGGAGTGAAGAAAAGGAACAGCTTTGCTCAGTTCTTTGGTGGAGTTAAGGATCCACCCTACAACACCCCTCATCAACCTCCCCAAAGATGGAATGCCACTCACGGCCACCTCCCTCCTCCCACCTTCTTGCTAGGCTCCCCCAGAACCCGGACCATACCCGTCGTGTCCTCCCTTCTCCCTGCCTCTCTGCTAGGCCCACCTCGTGCCCACGAGGCATGCTCTGGACGAGGTGGGCTGGAGGCACGGTGCCGACAACAGCGTGGGATTAAGGAGAGAAACTTGTCTGCTGCTCGTCCATATAGGTCCACATCGCGCACAGCTGGCTTCTGGCTCAGCATTACATGGTTACACGGGACAAGATACCTGGGAAAGACAGCAGAAAAGGGACACAGGATAGATCAGGAAGGAAGGACAGGGCTTGGGAGAACATCAGTGGAACTATATGGCTAAGCCAGGCTTCGAGAGGACACACACACAAGCAACCCCAATGCAACCCATCACCCCAGCAATGCACAAGGCCCTGAGGGCCCGGAGGGTTCAGGATCAGCCATCCCTCAGCCCTGCCCCCACAGGTACCTGAGAACCAGCTGCAGCAGGACATCCTCACAGCTGAGGTTCAGTAGGGTCCTGAAGAGACTCAGAGAGACCATGCAGAGCTGGGGGAGGGGGGGGCGGGGAGTCACCATAAGAGTTCTCTACCCTCCAAGATGTTTACCAAATGGAAACCTCCCCAACCCCAGGCCCAACCAACCTCTCCTGGAGCAATGATGGCACAGGGCCTGGCACAAAACAATCATTCAAATATTAAATAAATGATCACATGATCTCTGTGGTCAAGACTTCATTATTCACAGATAGGAACGAACCACATGTCAGATTTAATGTATTTCTATAGACCATACACATGTCAGCAAACTCTCTGGCTATATATACCTGGCAGCAGAGATACCAGCAATACTTAAATGGAATGAATACCCATGAAGAGACCCCAGGAAATACTGGGACTGAGTGAATGACTAACAGGAGACAACAGCAACGTGATAACTAAGGGAGTGCCTGTCAACAGACTATAGCAGCATAGTAACTGAACGCCCACCAACAAAAAACCAGAGGGAACCTGGAAGAATCCCAGCTGGGAAGTGGGTGGGGCTGTGAACAAGGAGTCTGAGTCACCTCTCCAACACTAGTGTCTCTCTCAGAAGGTAGGATAAAGAAAAGTTCAAGGGCAGCTGACAGGAAAAGGAAAAAACAGGTGGGTCCAGAACAAGGGAAACTTTTGTTTTAGAAAAGTAAAAAGGGTGGTTCACCTCTGGCTAGATGAAGAGAAGAGACACATGTAAGCACTCCCTCACTCCTATGAATCCCCAAAGCACTTTCTCTATACTTCCCTTACAGCAAGTATACCTTGAGCACCCTGAAGACAACTATTGGGTCTTAGTCCAGGGCACTACCTGCACAGTCTGGGTGCTCATCATTAACTAAATGACTGCGGGGGAATTACAAGCCAATCATGGGACTTCCCTGGTGGCGCAGTGGTTAAGAATCTGCCTGCCTGTGCAGGGGACACAGGTCCGATCCCTGGTCTGGGAAGATCCCACATGCCGCGGAGCAACTAAGCCCGTGCGCCACAACTACTGAGCCTGCGCTCTAGAGCCCGCAAGGCACAACTACTGAGCCCACGTGCCACAACTACTGAAACCTGTGTGACTAGAACCCATGCTCCACAACAAAAGAAGCCACCACAATGAGAAGCCCGTGCACCGCAACGAAGGGTAGCCCTCGCTCACCCCTAGAGAAAGCCCGCGCACAGCAATGAAGACCCAACACAGCCATAAATAAATAAATGAATACATACATACATTTAAGGAAAAAACAAAACAAAACCAAACAAAAGCCAATCATGGTGGGAAAGAGATAAGATAGCAGTTCCCATTTTAGACAGCATGGACGTTTATCCTAAATGACCATTTTAACTAGCAATGAAAACATTCAGACTCACTGAAAGATTGTGTGGTAGGTAGAAAAAATGGCCCCTCAAAGATGTCCAGGTCCTAATCTCCGGAACCTGTAAGTTACCTTACATGGCAGAAGGGACTTTGCAGGTATGATTAAGGTTATTAAAAAATTTAAGATGGGGAGAGTAGCCTGGATTATCCAGATAGGCCCACTCAAATCACACGAGTCTTTAAAAGCAAAGAACCTTTCCTAGCTGGGTCAAAAAAAAGAGAGATCTGAAGCATGAAAGGGACTCAATCCACCACTGATGGCTTTGAAGATGGAAGAAGGGATCACAAGCCAAGGATTTAGTTGGTCTCTAGAAGATGGGAATGGTCCTCAGCTGACAGCCAGCAAGAAAACAGGAGTCTCAGTCCTATAACTACAATTAAGTAAATTCAACCAATGATCCCAATGAGCAAGGAAGCGGATTTTCTCCTAGGGCCTCCAGAAAGGATGCAGCCCCGCTGATGCTTTGATTTTAGTGGGGTGAGGTCCGTGTCAGATACATGCCCTACAGAACTGTAAGATAATAAATTTGTGTTGCTTTAAGCCACTATGTTTGTGGTAATTTGTTATGACAGCAATAGGAAACTAATACAGATACGCAGGCTAGCTAGCCAGCATGATTCACCTTAAGCCACAAAAGTCGGACTATAGCAGTTACAAAGTCAGGCCAACAGAATCAAGCTGAAAAGGGCTAAACAGGGGAAAGGAAAGCACCTGCATGTTTAACATGGGCATCCTAAAATCAGAAGAGATTTGGTTCCTCCAAGAACTGAGAGCCAAGAATAAATACCCTAAAACCATGAAAGGCTCCTGAGACCAGGGGACCAAATGCAAGACTAACAGAAATATATGCTAAAGACTAAAGACACTGAGGGAGAATCAAAGAAGTTAGGATAAGATTAAGACAAAAGCAAGACGGACAGAGCCCAATACAGGAAGAAAAAATCAAATCCTAGGAAGAAAATCAACATTCCCAAAACATGAACAGGACATTCCATGAGGCCAAACAGATTTAAGACCTTGGTCGAGCTTCAGCATAATGAGAAATAAAACTTTTTCAATGCCTTTGCAAAATTAAAGCTTTGACATCTCTTCCCTATCAGTTTATGACAATAATTCTTAACCCAAGGCATGTATCATAATTACATTTTGGAGCATTATAAAAGTACACATGCCTTGGGCCTACTCCCAAAGATTATAACTCAAGAAATCTAAGGCAGAGCCTAGAATCTGTTGTTATGGTTATTGTCATTTTCAAATTCTAAAGTGTACACTTGGTTCAGAAACACTGGTCAAATCAGAGACAGTCTAGAATATCTCATATACACCCTAACATAGCTTCAGAAACCTCAACTATACAAAACATAGCTATCCAGGAACCTTACTTACCTGGAACCCTACTACCAGGTACCTCAGTTATCTAGAACAGTTTTCTAGAACTTTTAGTGATCTAAGAACTTCTATTTTAAACACAAGGACCCAGAGAACTTCAATTATTTATAATAAAAGAAGGAAACAAAAATGGTTGACGGAGCCAAAATAAATGCCATAAAGTCCATGGCTAAACTAATGCTTTACTCCCCCAGAAAGACTTCAGGTCTTTATGACTTAGAAACAATTTACTCCTATTTTATATACATTTCTATTGGTTAAAATCTAAACTTCTTACCATGGTCTACAAGGCCACACATGATCTGAACTCACCCACCTCTCCTTCCCTTCTCCCCTTTGCTCACTATACCTCCAGTCACACTGGTCTTTCATTTCCTCAAATACATTTCATTTCCTGTTCCCCACTTACGTACTTTGCATGCATTGCTCCCTCTGCCTAGACTGTTCTTCCACTTGCTCTTCAATAGGCTAACTCCCTCATGACCTTTAGGTCTCAACTCAATGTCACCTCCTCAGAAAGGTTTTTTTGACCACTCTACTGTTTTCTAAGCACCCTGTTGGGTTTTTTATAACAATGACCTCAATTTTCAATTATTTTGGTTATGTGTTTACTTATCTACCTCCTCTATGAAGGAAGCTCCATGAAGTCAGCAACCACTGCTTACCATTATATCCTCAGTACCAGAGAACAGTATGACATATAGTGAACATTCAATCAAAATGTTCAGGAAGAAGGAACGTAAGCAGGTAGGCGGGCAAATGGGTGCCCCAAGTTCTATAACTCTACAGCAAATCCAGAGGGAAGAAAAGGTAAACGTACTAGTAGCAGCTGGATCACCTATCAAAGCAGACACAAAGCCTGAAGAAGTGATCTCAAGTCACCCACAGCAAGTCACAAAGCACTACACAGCTGAAGAGAACCTCAGGCCAACGCTACATAACAAGTGTCGCACAATGGCAAAACCTATAGCCATGACGAGCAGCCGAAGTCATCCAGAAAAGGTAACTGTGTCCTAGATTTGTATATTACAAAAGCAGGAGGCCACATTAAAATTGTACCCAAAACAGTTAAAAGTTTAATACTAGAAAGAAAATGCCACCTAACTTTGAAGTGATTGCTGGAGACAAAGGCCAAAGGAGGGCAGGAACACCCTCCCAGAACAAAGGTCGGAGAGAGAAGATGGCTCACCCAGGTAAGCCAGGACAGAGGTAGGGGCCATACCCGGGAGTTGCTGCCAATACGGGCAACAAGGGTGTCAAGGATGGTGTGGGTGTCATGCCGGTGTAATAGCAGGAATCGCAGGAAGGTACGGAGCAAGGCAGGCTCTGAAATACTCCGTAGGAAAAGTTCCAGATAAGCGGTACTGGCAATCATCTCCTCCACAGAGGTCTGGACAAAGAAAGGGAAAGTTTGGAAATTTAGGGCTTCCCCGCACATATGCTAAGCCATTTTCCCTAAGTTCTAAGGAGGTACCAGGAGCAGACAGGGAAAAAGGGAGGAGTACCCAGCCCACTGCCGCCCACATTGGTCCTGGCATTGAGGTTACCACCCCTCAACCTAATCCCTTAATCTGCCTTGCCACCCATGACTCTCACCTTGTGCAGGGCAGGGCCCATGACAGGCACCAGGAACCCATTATGGATATAATCTACCAGCTGCTTTTGCACTAGAGGGTGAGCCACCTGTAAGGGTGCAAGACAGAGGATGGAGGATTTTGAAGGGGGCCATTGTCAGGAAGGGAGCAGAATGGTAGAATACAAATAGGCACCCTACCCCCAAACTGAAAGAAAACCAGAACTCCAGGGAATGCACCCCCTCCCACCCCATCTCCTCAGAATGACCAAAGGCCAGACCTCCTGGGAACCCCAGTCCCACCTGAATGACTGCGTTGCAGAACTCTAGGGAACTCATGAAGAGAGCAAGGGCTGGCACCCCCAGCCAGTCCTCCCGTCGCAGGCAGTGCCAATCATCTCCTGGAACTTCAATCTTTCGGGGCAGTGAAGAGTACAGGGCACTCAGCCCTGTGGCCAGCACCTGGGGGCCATCCCCAAGGACAGGTTACCAAAGACTCAGATGATATAAAAAAGGGGAACAGGGAACTATTAACCCAGAGTTTTTATGTGAGTAGGGGTAAGAGCTATTACCAGAGCAGATATTTAGTCACCCAAGGTGCCAACACATCACCTGGGAACACTGGCCCATGAAGAGCCTTTATACTTGCCTTATCCACCTAAGCCCATGTTTCATCCCCACCCCAACTCCAGGTGCTGCTTTCAAACCCGGGGGGGGGCTACTTCCTGAAGGAGAGGGCCCTGGTACATAGTCCCTCCACATCTCCTGGACAGAAAGGTGCTCTCCAGCGCCTACACCATACCCTACCCCCCATCCCAGGAGGTGCTGACCGGGCAGAAGTAAGAGTGATCTGCGATGTAGCGGCCCACAGTGGGACTTCCAGCTGATAGAGCCATGAGCAGGAGTAGGGCATCACGGGCCTGCTGGCCCAGGGTGCCCTCTCGATGGACAAAAGGTACAAGGCGAGAAAAGAGGAGAAGACGGGGAGCAGCTCCAGGCTCAGGAGGTGGCTGCAGGAAGAACTCGAGCAATGAAGGCTCCCGGGCCAGACACACGCACAGCTGGCTGAGAAGTAGCACCAGGCCTTCATCCAGTGCTGGGCTACTGGGCACAGGGCGGCCACAGGCATCCAGCAAGATCAGCAGAGCCTCACGAATGGGACTATGCCGCAACAGTGGCTGGCGAGCTTCGCTCACTAGCATCTCAAACAGTTTCAGTTGCTCAGCCCGCCGTTCCTCAACCCCATCCCCAAGCTCATCCCACTGAAGCTGCCACGTCAACACACGGGTTAGCAGATCCTCGCGCAGAGCAAACTCCAGCAGGGGCCCAGGAGCCGTGGGAGCCGAGGGCACCGCACGATCCTCCGCCAGCAGTGTCAGCATCTGGTAAGTGTGGTTGCACACAGCACTGAGATCGTCGGCTCCCCCAGGAGCTGCCCTAGGGCCTTGCCGCTCCAGAATTCGCACCACCTGGGGAATCAGGACAGACAAGAGAAAAAAATTTAAGATGATCAGGTGACTAGATGGCAAGGTGAGAGAACAAAGAATGTTAGGACTTGGACAGCCAGTAGACTGGGACCTTTAGCATATAGTCTCCTACCTGGGACCAGTGATTCTTGAAGACCATGAGGCAGGTCTCAGGGTCAGCCATGACAGGAGTCTGCAGACTGGCCCCTTGTGGTACACGATGCCCAGGGCCCCGGGAGGCCAGTCTGCTCAGCCAGTTCATCCTCTCCATGAGGTAGGCCGGGCAGGGCCAGTGGCCAGAGGGCCACACTCTGAGAATTTGCCAGCCGGAGGCCTTCTCTACTTGTGTCTCTAGTCTGCTTCATCCGGTCTGTAGGAGCCAGTAACTGTCCATGGAGCCAGAAGATATACCAGGCTGGAGTAGTGAGCTCAGAGGTCACTGCCCGATCCAGACCTACAAATCTAATTCAAAGAGAAAGGATCAAGAGGTTAATAGAAGTTTGCCTCTCTCTACAGCCCAGCAGGAAGAATTCAGCACCACCACTCCACTGAGAACTCCACACACACAGTTAGCACCTTAAATTCAACATGTCTAAAACAGAACTCATTCCAACACTAAACCTGTGTTACTCCCCCCAGCCTTCTCCACCTTAATAAATGATACCAATATTCACCTACTTGTTCAGGCCAAAAACCTAGGCATCATTCTTCTTTCTTCTTGTCCTTACTTCTAATATCCAGTTCATCAGCCTATCATCTATACCCTCCAAACGTGTCTCACTATTGCAATAGCTTCCAATCTGGTCTTCACACTTCCAGTCTTGCCCCTCTGAGAATCTATTCCCCACACGGCAACCAGAGTTTTAAAACATAAATTATACTACATCTCTCCTCTGCTGAATACCCTCCAATGCCTCCCTATCACACTGGTAATAATCCAAATTCTCTACCTTGGTCTCTAGGGCACTACATAATCTAACCTGTATAACCTCCTACCATACCCCTCCTCACTCATACTTTACTCATACAAGGCTTCTTGAATACTTGCTCTTCCCTCTGTCTGGAGTGTACTTTTCCTGATCTTCACATTGCTCACATCGCTCAGTTCTTTCCAAATGCCATCTCCTCAGAGAGGACTTACTTAACAATTCTATCTAAATAGCACATCTCCCCACCTTCACTCTCTAGCTTCCTAATCCTACTTTCTTCTTAGCAGTTTTTTTACTTTCTAAAAATATTTATTTGCTTATTTATTTGTCTATCTTCCCCACTACAATGAAGCTCATTGAGGGCAAGTTTTCTCTGTTGTATCCCCAGTACCTAGAGCAGTGCCTAGGGACTCAATAAATATTTGCTGAATGTATGGATGCTTAAGTGAATGAGTGAATGAACAAACAAAGAACAATCAGGAAATCCAGTCTTGATCTGACTCCGGCCCTCTGGGACTGTTGAGGAAGAAATTTTTTTCTAACTACTACAGGTCCCTCCCTAGAAGCCTACCCAGGAGGAAATACACTAATAGACCTTTAACTGGCTGAATAATCTTAAGAGGTAAAAATTCAGAGCCAACCAAAAGAGCAAAAGAATTTTCATTCTAGCAAAGAACACAAGGATACACTCCCATAAACACACATATACCCACTCCTGTCAGATGCATCCAACACTCACTCCTGGGGACATGACGTGACACCCTCACTAGAGAATGGGGAAAAGTACCAAAACAGCTGTTGGCCTCGGCCATGGCTCACAGTTCCTTCTCATCACATCTACCACCCCCTCAATAATACTGTCTCTCAACAATATCTCACAAGTATAAAAACTTCAGAGGAAAAAAAACAAAAAAACTTCAGAGGAAAGGTGTGGTTCAGTTGTCCTTCCTCTTTACACTCAATAAGGCTAAAGGAACCCGGAGACCTGGCAACAGGCCCACATTTGGCCTCCAGTTGTATTAACCACCATCCCTTCTACCCAGATACACTCCCTCTCACCATTATCAGCGCACACTAAAGGAAGATAGCAATTATGCTTAAGAAAACCTTCTGGAGAACAAAAGACAGTCTTTTTTTTTTTTTTCAAAAGACAGTCTTATAAAGGGTGGGAGCAGTCCTAAACAGCAGGCAGGGCTCACTCATTGATTAAGTCGGTGTACATCATACTGATAAGTGCTGGGACACTGTGCTAATAATAGGTAAGCACTGGAAATACAAAAATGGATAAAAACAGTTGGTGGAGCATAAACAAAAACTCCAATAGATATTATAAACAGAGGTACTTACAAAAATGTCATGGGGGTGCTAAGGAAAGCAACTAAATCTTCCTGGGAAACTATAAGAGGATTCCAGAAAAGAGGTGATATCTGATTTAAATCTTTAACAACGAGATACTGGCCACAAAGAAAGCAGACGGAAAGGCCTTCTTCATATTAACAACAGTATGTTCAAAAATATGGCACTGTGAAAGAACATAGCAAATTTGAAGAACAGTTGCAAGTTTGGTGTGACAATCTCAGACTATTTAGAGAAGAGAGATACAATATTAAGCTGAAGGGTAAACATGGATGAAGGTTATAAATATCACTGAATATCATGCTAAGGACTTTGGGTTTTATCTATCAACACCCTGGAATAAAGGAGGTTTTTAAACAAGGAAATGACAAGATCAAATTTGCCTTTAAAAATATGTCAGATAGCAACATATGGTGGAGCAAAGAGAGACCTAACCTCACACTCATACCCCAGGGGAGCTGAAGAAGGGCCAAGCATCCAGTCTCAGCAAAGTAAGGCCTTAACATGTCCACAACTAAACTGCTTCCAGCTTCTAGAACTCAATGCCGAAGACTAACAAACAGCTTCTACCTTGGGATGTACCTGGGGCGCCCACTTCTGCTCCACTCCTTGACTAACATAGAGCACTGCTCACAGACCCAAGGGGAACTGGCCTCCAGGACTTTCCCTCCCCACTCCAACCCCATTTCTTTCCAAAGAACTCAAAGAGAAAAGCCACACTGAAATCACTGTCTCAGAACCCACAAGCTAACACTTAACCTGGACCCTCTTCACGTACTTCGGAAATCTAAAAGAAAGCCACAGCTTGGTGTTCCTGTCACACACCTAAGACTCCCTCACTCCCTGTTAACCCTGAAAAGTTCAGAACAAGACAGAAGAGAATGGGATCACCACCCTATTACTGTGCCCTTTCCTCCCACAGCAAAGTCTAGAGAAAAGTAGATCCCTCTTCCCAAATTTACCTACAGGCTCAACCACAAGGAAGAGAGAAGGAGATGATCTTTCAGACCCCCCAAAATGGCCAAGGTCAAGCACTCACCAGAGGGCCCGAAATACAGCCTTATAGGAACACTCAGCAAGGGTGTCCACCAACCTCGGAATAGCAGGCACGAGGCAGGAAATTGCTCAGTCTCACTTATGAACCTTTGCCCTGGGAGAGGCAAAGAGGGAGGAAGGTGGGGGCAGGGATACACCTGCAACATCTACGGCAGACAGAGACCAAAACAACCTTCTAAGAACAGGTCAGTGAAGTTCTGAGGCTTCTCTCCCCCTACAATGGCTCTTCCTCTTACTGACATAAGAGGCAGCAATGGGTTCTTACAATAGATTCTGAAAGTAGAAAGATCTGATTAAAACTTCATAGTAATACAAAAGGGAAAAACAAATAAACAAACCCCACCTCATAGGAGCCTACGATCTAGAGCTCAGCTCACACATATCCTCTCTGCCTGTCTATCCCTCAGCCTATATGTATGAGACAAATGGGATATCAGTGTATGGTCCTAACTCACTCCCTCTCCTCTCCCCAGTACCACCTCTGCTTCTTGCAGGGATCTCCCCACCTCACTCCAGCAGAGCCCTCATAACTCACAGCGTGAACTCTATTGCATAGTGACTCCCCTTTACAACAGTAAATGCCCATGTCACACACGGCTTTCTCCACCCCTTTTGCAGAAGGGCGACAAAGAAGTCAAAGAGGAGGTGAAACTGAACTAGATCCTAATGGATGAGGAAAGTTCACTGGGCAGAGAAGAAAAGGCATTCCTAGTAGAGGAAGCAGCTATTACAAAGATTTCAAGGCTCAAAAAAGTAACATGTTTGTCAGGGAACTGTGAACAATTTATTCAAGCTAGAACACAGAGTAGAGAGAGAGAGGCCCGAGATGAGGCTGGAGAGGTGAGCTGAGGCCAAATGATGCCATATTAAGGAATTTGGATGTTATCCTACAGAACACAAAGAGTCAAAAGTTTTTAGCAGAGGAGCTCCATGATCAAATTTGCATTTTTAGAAAGACCATTCCAGGGACGGATTAGAAAAGAGCAAGTCTGAAGGCAGGAGACTGTCTGGGGAAAAACATCCAGATGAGAGATGAGGAGGTAGTAAACTAAAGCCTTAACTGTGAAGATGTAGCTGTGGAGATGAAGAAAACAGATAATATAAAGGGAAATGTATTAAGATTTTCGTGACTGACTACATACAGGGGGTGAAGGAGCAGAAATATGGAAGATGACACTGAAGTCCTTGCCTGGATTGCGATGTGACACACGGTACAAAAGCAGACTTTCAAAGCAAAGACAATGAGTTCTGTTTTGGACACGCTAACTGCGATACCTGTGGAGATATACCATAGATCACTGAGTAAATATGACTGGAACATAGAGAGAGACTGAGACTAGATACAGACAAGTAATCACCTCATTATGATATACTTTCATATTTCACATTCTCTCTCTCAACTGGAATTATCTTTTCATGTGTACATCTCTCCCAACCAGATTGAAAATTCCTTGAGACTTCACAGGACCACATCTTATCTATCTTGTTATCTCATAAAATGTGAGCATCACAAGGGCAGACTACATGCTGAAAGTATTTGCTGAATGAATAAATGAATTACTATATGAATGAATGAATTTGTCCTCCCAGCACTTGTAAGAGTGCCTGGCACATAGCAGATGTGGAATAAATGGTTACACACAGCACTCCAAGCATGTTTCTATCTCTACATCCTCATCCTCATCTATGCTTCATCTCCTCAGATCTACCACTCAGCTATATATATCATAAAGCAAAATCCATTATACTTAACGCACTACTATTCAACAAAGAATTCAGTATAGCAAAGCAGGAAGCTTACGAAACCCAGTGCTTTCTCCAGAACAGCCAAGAATTTGGACAGTCCCTAAGAACCCTCGGACATGTGACTTGGCTCACCTATCACTATCACAATGTGATCCAGGTATTATGTACACCTGTTCCTATGTTTCTGCCACAT